GGTTATTACGGAAGTACGTATGAGGGTTCTGTTGTCTGTGATACCAGCTGTGGATCGCCTATTTTTATTAATTCTCCCCCCCCCCCNCCCCCCCATCTGCACAGAAAAGAATCTTATCCAGATTTTGCCCGCATTCCTCACTTTTCATATTGTCACGATTTTGAGTGACTCTAGACGGGGTTTGGGTTGGCAGTTGGATTTATATTATTACAGAACGTAACTACAAGTAACTATAGAGCTAACGCTACTTCACGCACTCAACAGTTCACTGCAGAACGTACAAAGTCATCTCAGTCTCATATATCTTCGCCTTTTGTCGCCTGGTAACGGTTTCCAACGTCTTTACTTCATCTTCCGTGTTCACGTCCTTACTGGCCGGCGACTGTCACGACACACTGCCAGGCTGGCGACCATCTCATACGAACTTCCTACTCTTCTCACTGCCGTGAGAATCACAGAGTCAGAGTTGCTTTGTGGCAAGCTCCTTGAGACTCACGACCAGTATTTTTTTTCTCCAACTGATCACTTGCGGTTACAGCCCTTATGTAACATCCTCTCTCACGAGAGGATGGGTCTGCCGTTTACGATTGCTACTGGTCCTCCTCGCGAGCGCAGTCTCGGGTCCTATTCCCCCGGGGCTCTTGACCGCATTTTGCTGTCTCATATTCGAGAATCCTCTAACCTGGCGAGCCAGGTATTTATTTCCCCCAGGAACAGGATGGCTCGGTTATACGCAGCTGCTGCTAGTTATATAATCTCGTCACGTACCGCATAGAAGTCACCTCATCCATTTTTGCGTCACTTAGCTGTGGCACTGGCTGTGTAGAGAGAAACCTCTTCCCAGTTACTCCATTGTTTCATGTTACGAATCTGTTGCAGCCATTACCTAGCAACGGCCTTTGTTTACAGAGCGATTACCTAGCAACAGCTGTTGTGTATGGTTGCTTATTTCGCTGTCGTTGCCTACCAACGAGTCTACATGCCACAGTGTGCTACTCGTCCTTCCTTCCTGTCTTTTGTTAATTTAACAACTGCCAAGCAAAGTACAAATTATATAGCTTCGAGTTACCTGACAGTCCCTATCACTTTGTGTACATATGCCGTGAGGATTCTGTTTTCATTATACGTCGTAGAGTGAGACATACGAAAATTCCTAGGTTTGATCCTTATACGTATAACAGAGTTAATAGTACATCCTTCGAAAATACGGTTAAATTTAAACATTTGGGAACCACAGCAACAAGTCAAGATAGCGTTCTCGAAGAAATTAAGAGCATATTAAGTGCGGAGAATGTTTGCTGTTATTCAGTTCAGAATCTTTGTCTTACCGCCTGCTATGTGATCATGTAGAGATTGAATTTAATTGCGTGGGCTGTTTTATATGGGTATGAAACTTTGTCTCTCACATTAAGAGAAGGAAGAGTGTTTGAGAACAGGGTGCGGAGGAGATTATCTGGACTCACGAAGGAGGAAGTGACAGAAGACTGGAGAAAATTTCACAGTGAGGAACTTCATAGTCTGTAATAATCACCAGGTGTTAGAGTGATAAAACGGAAGTAGACAGGACCTGTGACACGCATAGGAAAAAAGTGCATAGAAATGTTTACGAAATTCTGATGAAAAGGGGCTGCTTGGGGAGGATATTAAAGAAATAGGGTGAGAGGATATGAACTTGTTTAATTTGGCTGAAGTTAGGGACCAGTGAAGGGCTCTTGTGAACACGGTAATGAGCCTTCGGGTTCCGTAGCATTTTGAGCGTATTCCTTAGTAACTGAACAACTGGTAGGTGGTTACAAACGCTTGAAGGGACACACTGTCACAATCTTTAGGGTATATGGCAGATGAAATACCGAGCAGGTTGGTGTGGCGGTAACGACAAAGGCTTACATTCAGAAGGTGCTCATTTCGAATCTCGACCAGACATCGTCTGTGCAAACTGTTGGTTGGGCAAATGCCGGCATAGTACCTGCATTAGGCCACGACCACCACTTTCAAAATTATGTCCAGTTCGTTATACACCAGTGATACTTCCATTATAGTGGTTCGAAGTGACGAAGGTTTGGGAATTTATGGGAGTAGTGTGGGACCACGAGGAAAATCAATTTTTAATGTCACATTCACTTGAAGTAATTCTTCTAGCTGCATTTAATGCTTTCCTACGTAAGTAAAACGTAAAGATATCCCCGTAACAGGCCGTGGGAGCCCATAAGGCTGTGAGACGTGGAGGCTGCCACATTTTCTAGACAGTCTGCTTACAGATGGTGAGGCTGCCATCCTTACATGCCGGCAGCCCTCTATTCCCAGTAAGTTTTCTGGTACTTATTTCTGTTAGAGGCTGAGTCGAACTCAGGGCATAATAGTTCTGCTGAAAGGATTAGTTCAGTTGAAAATTCCAATGAACTCATTGGGAATGGAAACCGAGACCTTCAAGCTTGTAGCCTGTACTGACTGATATGTTGTCTTCCTGAAGAAGGGCGTTTTGTTTTTGTCCCCCTTCCTATTGACCCGAACCGGCTTACATTTTCTGTCCCCCACCCACGGATTCGAGGAGCCGCTTTCCTCTCAAAATATATGATTTTTAACGAGATCCTAATGTTAGGAATGTTCACAACGGCATGTATTTGAGCGCTAGGCCAATTTTGGCGAAACTCTATGCGCAGTACGCAGTGCGCAGTAGAAGTTCTAAACAGCATGGCGTTCGGTGTGGAGAAATGCTTGTTCTTTGGTGGAGATTACCTCAAAACAGAGTTGTTTGAGGCATTGCAGAGCGATTCCATCCTCCCGATTCGGAAGTCCAGGGCCAGCAGAATCTGTGATATGGAAGTCTGTGAAACAGTTCAGGCAGACAAAAGATTTGAAAGTTTCGGAACGTGTTGACGTGTTACAGAGATCCAAATAGCGAAGGTCAGTGAGAGATTGAGGGAAAATGAGTGAAAGTCATTTAGGAAACTTGCTTTATACAGGAGTTGTTGCAGAGCAGCGGAGACCTTGTATTTGTTTCCCAGTAAAGTTCGTGTTATTCAGCAGTTGTTCCCGCCGTATTATGAANTGAAGCCAGTGCCCAATCGAAACATCCAACACAGTATGGATCAGTATGGATGAACTGAAAACCGACGGATCCGACATAATTACCGACATGGTGCTGCAGGCATTGTCTACAGATGTGCCTTGTGCGTTACGTATACAACATGCTGCTGCAAACTTTCAAAACTACTTGTAACAGAGGGTCTCCTTAATTTGAGTAAGGGTCCCCACACACACACAGTTTGGCCTCCAGTTCGGCCTGCACAGTTGAAGACTGAAAGGCAAAACTGACGTGTGTGGTGCGGCCGGCCGGCCAATCGTTTGGACTGTCGGCCTGTGGGAAACCCGTCAGTCCGTCAGTTCTGCCCGCAGGACCGTAGCACGTGACGTGTGTGACTCAGTATTATAGGCTGTAAGACCGTGATTGTGGCATGAAGCCTGCCGCTTTATCTGCGCGTGTATGGGGAGGAAAGGGAGGGGGTAAACTGTCACAGTTTTGCCTGTAAGGTCGATCGGAAGGCCAAACTGTGTGTGTGTATGGGGGGCCTAAGGTTCTCCTTTAAGGCCGCGCCATAGCTCAAGCTGTTAGTCGCTGGTTTCCCATCACGGCGGCCCGGGTTCGATCCCGGGTCTGGTGAAGTGGGATTTGTGGTGGACGAAGTGGCGCTGGGTCAGGTTTTCTCCAAGTACTTCGGTTTCCCCTGCCAATCTTCATTCCACCAATTGCTCCACAATCACCCTCACCTATCATCTGGGGCTGATACAATAGGCCAGAAGTGGCCCCAGTACAAGGGACTTAGTCCCACTCCACTAGCAATAAAAAAAACTTCTTTTAAGAAATCGCCGTACGGTCCATACGAGTTTCAAATATGTGACGTTATTAACATCCCTAACTTCGTGTTCTCATTTAAAAGTAATCTGCGCTCTGACTCCGAATGCGGGGGGATGTACCATCACAACGGTGGCACAGTCCGTAAGGGTTTATAGCTCAGAGCAGTGTGACGTTCAGCGACATCGGGCACATTTTGCGTTAAGGATATTTTGTTCAGTGACTGTGATCTGGCCAAAAAGTTAACAGCACGCAGAACAATTTGACATGTTAGTAACACGTCCGACTTGTGTCCAGGATGTATCTGGTTAAAGTCTCGGCTTGAGCATTGGATATTAAAATTTTCGTGGTTTTCTTCGTTACTTCCAGTAGAATTATCGTATCCAGATATGGTACATCACCATGAACGAAACAGGCAAGGGAATAATTGAGACAGCGGGAATGAAAGCTCTTGAAACATTTCTGGACATAATTCTCAACTAGTGCCAAAGTCAACAAAATGTGGATCTGTATATCCACTCTCCCATACGCCATTATGGTGTAATGATTAATTAGTTAAGCACAGGGATACATTACCGTTATGCCTTTAACTCTCAAGTACCAAGTGAACAATATAAAAATTGACAACATTTAGGTGTATATGTGGTATAAATTAATTCAGGAATATAAAGTTGATTGGCATTAGAATATTCGACATAGGGAATCAGGTAAAATCTCACAGTATGAATTACGAACCAGAAGTTAGATGTTGGAAGACCAAGGGGAAGGCCACGAAAAATAGTTCGGATATGTGGTGTCCAGCCGAGATTTGAACCAAACACCTGCAGAATAGAAGTCTGGGTCATAGCGGTCTCAGTGAAGGTGTTGCTTCTAATGAAGAGGACAGTTGCCTCCCCAACAGTCTGCCCTTGATCACATGTATTATGCTCTCACTATTTTCAGAGACAGACAACCAGAGTCGTTGGTAAATTAACCACAAATCATTGAACTGTAAATGTCTTATATCAATGTAATGTGTTTGTCTTGCATTTACTATCAGCATTTCAAATTTCCAGTGTTCCTTGTAGTTCGATTACATATCCCACGTAGGCAAGAAAATATTATATGTAAGTCAAGACTCAGTTGTTGTTTTCATTATTTTCTGCAGATCCCAGGATCCTTCTGCAGGAGGAGACGCTTCGAGCCCTGGCAGTGGGCAGTCAGACTCCACTTGTGGAACACCACCCACAAATCCTGACACTGTGGCCACCAGTACAGGTACAAGAGCTCTGTTGAATTTTTACCACAGTTCAGTTGATCTCTAGGATGCTTTATAAAATAGAAAAATATTTTTTGAAACTAGTGTCAAATCTATATAAATATGTTGTATGTTCTTTCCATGAGATACCAGGAATTGAGTTCAGTTTATTTTGTGTGTAGCACAGTTAAGATTATCCTGTGTATGTTAGGTCTTTACAAGATTGGTCACTTCACTTTGTCAGTCTTAGATCAGTGCATCTTTAAATACATTTCTCTTGCTTATATGCAGACCTGTAATCAAGCCAGGACAGTCAAACACAGAGCACTGGTACATTTTTGAGTGTCAGGACTCTGCCTTGCCACTTCTGAAGGCACTGGTGTGTAACACAAAGTTAACATGGCTTGTTTAATCTTCGGCCCCTTAGGTAGGTAAGCTCTTTCATGAGCTGTTTGTTATTCAGTTTTGTGTTTAAAAGTGTAAAGCTGCAGTTATGTAAAGAGAATAATTTCATATTATGATTTTTAACAATTTCTTTCAACCTGGAATATTGTGCTGGGGCGATCTAGCACCTTTTGTTTTTAGTACCACACTCCTGCCTCGTCCACTTCATTCACACCATGCATGTTCATATCAAGTCACACTCTGTTTTATTTCCTTATCACTCCCATCTCGAAATAACGGAATTTTTACTGTTTCTTCATAAAAAGCGTCATTGCAGTTAATACAATTTTCAGCCAGCAATTCTTTTCATAATATATTCTTCCTCCAACTTTCAGCCTTAATTTTCACATGCTCTAGAATGTGTTACACCAATACATTAATACATTGTCAGCGTCTTTTTGGTATGTGTGCGTTTTCTCTGAAAACTAAACCTTGCTGAGTCATTTGATTTGAGGTTATCATAGCAGTGACCATGAAGAATATGAGCATCATCTTGCAATGCTGTATAGGTCAGAGACAGCCCAACATTTGTATGTCACCTCCATCTTCAGGGTTGAAGTGTAAGAAACCAGCAGAATCAGGCAGCATGCTGCTGGTCTGGCTTATTCTTGACAGTGAAGAGGAAGGTGGTATGTGCCTCCAAAACATCACTACATGGGTTTACAACAAATAATACCATGCTCTTTATACTTGCTGCTTTGAGAAGCACTCTCTACTATTTTAAACAGGGGATAAGGTGTCCCAGTGGCACCCAGTGGTTATGACCACAAACTTCTGATGAGACGAATCACTGTTGACCTGTAGCAGTCATGCATTGTAACAGTAATGTAGTCCAGCTGGCTGAGGATTGCATTTTTCGGTAGTATGAATAATATCCATACATTAAACGCCACCTGTGCTACAGTATTAGTTGAAGTGTGAAATCCATGTCATTGTTATGTAAAATTTAGTCTTTACTGTACAGAAAACATACTGCAGCTTCATGACAGATACCAGTCTGCTAGTGTTGTTTACAGAAATAATTTCTGTTAATTGTGAGAATCATATGCAATGCATAATAACATCTGTATGGTAAATACGGACTATTTTAATAATATATAAGAAATTTTATACACAATAGAGTTCAGTAAGAAGGTCAGATGGACTTAAAGCAGCTATAACGGACGTAATAGGTTTTCTATGTCTATCACTAGGTAGCAGTACAATCCAACTTCATGTTAGTCTAGATAGCAGACGCTCATGCACATGTTCAGATGTTGGTTTCAGTACTCAAAATGGCGACCGTGCAAGAGGAGTATACTGCCGAAGAACAACGTTCTGTTGTGCTTTTTTGTGGTCTAATGGACTCAGTGCAAAGGGTATCCGTAAAGAAATGTTTCCTGTTTATGGTGGGAAGTGTTTGTTGCGAAAAGCGGTTCACAACTGGGTGGCAAACGTTTCACTGCTGATGAAGAGGTTGAAACGGAAGTGCAAAAGTGGCTGAGACAACAGTCAAAAGACGTATGTGCCGTGGATTTCGACGCACTGGTAAAGCGATCAAACAAGTGTTGGTGGAGGATATGTCGAGAAATAAATGTTTTTTTTTTTCCAGATTCGAATGTCACAGTGTTTTATGTTTTATATCCATTTGTGACCTGTTTACTGACTCACCCTCGTACAATAACCATAGTGCTTTAAATCTTCCATTTTGCGACACAGATTTTAACTAACAGAAGATCCTGTATCATGATGTCAGTGAACCAATCAGGGGTTTGGGGTTTAGTATTTGTGCTTCTTATGTGAAATCTTTTGGCAGGATGTGCATCGATATCAGTGTCAGCAGCAGGGGGTGTAAGCAGGAGCAACGCCAGTTGCGTGGTCAGCAGCAGTCATCAGCAACAGCTTCAAGACCCCACCAGCTCTCCTGTCACTGCAGGATCCTTCTCTAGTCCGGCCACCTGGCCTTCCCTTAGTGATGCTAATAGTAAGTTGTGTTGGTGCTCTTGTGGGGGGCTGCTTATAAAGGCTAATAAGGAATTTAGAAGTAAACGGCCAATCAAAAGTAAAATTAGTATGATGTGTTGTAACAAGTTACTCTTCATCTGTGGGTGGATGGACGAGAGTGTGGTCTGTTCTTTCTTCCTGCAATCCCTCCCTTTTATTCAAAAGTAAAATGAATGTGATGTGTTGGAACAAGTTACTCACCTTCTCTGGGTTGATGAAGAGTAAGGTCTGTTCTTTCTTCAAACAGTTCCTTCCTTTCAGTTTCTTTCTAGCTGTTTTCTCTCTTCATGATAGCTTGCAATACCTAGCTGAATGATCATTTGGACCATCCCATAATTCTTCCATTTACATTGTCACGTGTATTAGCGACTCGACAGGGTTCGTATTGGTAATTGGATTTATTGACAACTTTAACACACAACTTATGAGCACACCTTACAAATCACTATCACATAGAGACTACTGTTCTCAATCTGTTACTGTTTTCACTAGCCGTTGTCCTGTAACGGCTTACAACTGTGGAGGTTCCACAACTGTTGGACTCCAGCAGTCCTCTAACTCAGTAACCCACCAACCAACTACTTGACTTCACTCAACTGCAGTCACGCCACTAATTGTGCTTATAACATCTAAGCATGGAGCTTACAGAAAACACCATTCCTCTGTTGCTGTGGCGTGCCGTGCATGGAAGCAAGGGAAGCATAGCTTCCGTAGTTGAGAAACAAAAAGAGAAGAAGTCATATATAAATAATTCAATTTGAATAAAAAGGTTTTGAATATTGTCATTTGGCGCGTGTTCCTGCTCAAGGCCACATGCTGCCTCTTCCTCCTCCCTTTACCTGATTGGTGGGACAGACTAAGTTTCCTTTGTTAATCTCCGTACGAATTCGTCCCATTCGAAGTGACCAATGGAAGCAAATTTCGGTTTGCTGGCTAGACCAGCGAAGGAATGTGTTCTTTCGATGG